TATCTCAGGACACTTTTCAAATAGAGCAGGTCTAGACCGAACTCCTTATAACATTTACAGAGACCCAACAGTACCACCATGAGCAAGACCTTGGTAACTTCAACAGCCATATTTCTACAGTAGCCCGGAACAGACAAACCAAAAGGTCCATTTGTGTTTTTTCGCACTTCTCGCTGCCACCATAGTTTCTCCCTTGTAGTTAGAAGGGGAGGGTGATATCAGTGTTATAATCTGTTATAATAAATCTGTTATAATCTGCAACCACATCGCTAGATGCCACTAAATCCTAAACACTGGACCTTTAATACTTATTTCGGTCAATTCTGTACACACATTATATGTCTATCCCATTGACAGTATATACAATGGACAGAGCTTCCGGGTCTGAAAAGTGAAGCTCCATTGGCTCCAATAACAAATCGATCCCATTCACTCTAATGGAGAATGAGCTTGGCACTTCCTTTATGAGCTCAGTAAACAGTTTTTTAGGGTATTAGTCACAAGTTTAACATTTTCTTCCATACAGCATGATTTTCATTTGGTAAATTATGGTCCCATTTAGAGTAAAATAGACGATAAAGCTGTGTATGCTTTTGGGCGGGGCTGCCTTATAATTGACATATGAACTGCTCAGCCAGTGAGCTCAGACCAACTTGCAGTATGTCACGTTAGCTGGCTCCCACTGGCTCCGTTTTACTGTCATGGCAGTGGCCAGTCGCCGAATTCGAGTCTACAGGTACCAATGGGTGACGTCACGATAGGTTCACACTTGGTTCATCATCATGCTAGCTGTATCTGCCATTAGCGGGCAACAGAACCAGGCAAAGACAGTATTCTTATGTACCAGCACTTTATTACAAATGAAATATCTGGGATAAAATTTAAGTCCAAATGAAATAAAAAATGCCTTTGTAACCCCCTTTTTAACCTAGTCGTACTGTATCCCTACTAAACAATGTATGCCAAAAAACAAACAATTGTATTTTTATATCAAAATGCAATATTTTTTTTAAACCTAAGCACGAACCAACCAATTTCAACCAATAATATTAAGACATTCCCTCGTCATGCTTCCACTTTAAGCAATAAAGAGCTAAGGTTAATTAGTTAGCAAGCTAGAGAAAGTGAGAAATACTTTCTTGTTTTTTATCTGAGGTCTTCTGGCTGATCTGCCTCAACTCAGCTAATTGCTAAAGTAGCTGCTGTTAGCATGCAACAATACGGGGCTCAGCAGTCTACCAGTAAACATTGCCTCTTCTAACCGATGCCATTAGCTAGTTAGCAACTAAAAAACATAAGCAAATAGCACTCTGATTTCCTTTTCATGTGGACTCTAACATTGACGAATGACTAAGGGGATGTATTATAACTAACTGTAGGAATTATTTTTCTCTAGGTAAAAAAATAAATAATACATTCCTGAATATCATTTTATGCATCTTCATTCCAGAAAGTGGAGTAGACACTACACTGACACAGAGACATTCTCCCAGAAAGTAAGAACTCACAAACAAACCATAAATAACTTACATTTGTTCTGATTGTGTGATCCCTGAGTCAGTCTGTGGTCTCCCATAATGCAGTGCAGAGTGGCTGGCCCAGCAGCTGGTGCTGGAGTTCAAGAGGAGCTGGCTTCCTTCCAACCAGCCTCAACATGGACGGCAAAGCCTCCATAGCTCTCTACAGGAGGTGAGAACATGTACAGCAGCCAAATATAAAAACTATGGCTTTATAATTGTTTTAATTTAGTGTGTTGGAAAATCTACAGGGATAAATATAAAAAATTACAGACATTGGTGGAGGAATTAATCGGATCCTTTACTAAAACGACCAGTGTGTAGGATTTTGTGGCATAGTGGTATAGTTTCTGATCGCAAACCCCTTACCTCACATTCCCAGTCAAGCGTATAGGACAAACTATGGTGGCTGTGAAAAAAGGCCTAGAGCCAGTGTTTGGTTTGTTTGTCCTGGGCTAGTGTAGAAACATGGTGGTTGTCTTGTCAGTAGATAAAAACATAAATATATACATTATGGAAGGAAGTACAGGAATGGACGCAGACCATACAGACTTTATGATCGCTTCAGAGTTTTTTTTCTGTCTCTCTTGTTTACCATGCCGGTAAGTCAGAATGAACTATACTGATGTTCATAGTTTCCGTAAAATGAAGTGAAGGACTAAACTGTAGAGAATCCCCTGATCAAACGATGTGCAGCATCCATATTGACAAAAGTTCAAACATTTATATTTGTGTAGGCGATCTAAACGGCTTAAAACTCGCTTAAAGTCGAAGTATCCTTGAGCAAGATACTGAACCCCAAATTGCTCCCAATGCATCGGTGTGTGAATGTGTATGAATGAGTTAGTTTCTGTTTGATGGACTTTGCCATCACTGAGTGAATGTGTGTTAAGGGTGAAATGTCACGTAGTCTTAAAGTTTCGAGTGTGGACAAGTACTAAATGAGCGCTATACAAGTAACAGGTCCATTTACCATTTACCATTCCAGATGGCTATTTGCAAAACATGTAGCCACACCAGGCTAGTAACAGGAGACCTGTGTCTATGTTGGGACCTGCTTTAATTGTTTTTTAATATTGTAAGCTTTCACACTGTAATTATAGAGGTATAATCAAAGAAAATGGTACTGAAGGAGTATTAAAGTACAGTAAAGTATCAAAACTAAAGTAATTCATGAAAAAAAAAAACAGAGGCCCCCCCGTGACATTTCACATTTTGTCATGAACTGTCAAACTATTTTAGATTTTATCGTTAAGATTATTATTTAACTAAGCCATTTTACTGTTTGTTGTATAGGACAATTAATCTGCATATATTTTCACCCCATTTATTCGACTGGGATTGGTTTTGTCCAACCAAACAGTCCAAAATTATTAAAATAAATCAAAATAATAAAGGAAAAGTGGCAATTATTCCACATTTGTGAACCTGGAACCATGGAACATATTTAACCACTGCTGACCAACACAAACTTAGCTTTGATTGGCAAAAATTTAAATAAAATTTCATTGTATAATATTTTCTACTTTGCTTCTCTGACAGCCTTTTGTCCTCAATCTTATTGCCAGTTGCCAGGTAACCTGAACATGGCCGGTGACAGCTGCAGCTAACGGAAGAAGAATCAGATTGAGGACCAGGATGAGAGGATCTACATGGAGCTCGTGGCCCAACCAACGTTTCAGATATACTTACTGTTCAACCAAGCACAGGTTCTTACGTTGCATCTGATATATATATATTTACTGAGATATATATATCTTTATCATATATATAATATAGTATATTTATATATAATATATAGATGGAGGTAATTCACAGCTTGATTGTTTGGTTTCTTCATCCCAGCACGCAGTGAAATAGTGGCTTTGCAGCATTCCTATTGCAGGCTGTGGGACAGAGGTAGAGCCATGAGATGTGGACGATTGTCAAAGAGCATCCAACATTTTGTAAACTTTTAGGGTGGTGTTGTGATAGCAACACTTGGCATTTATAATTAATTTCCCCAGTTAAAGTGTAAGAGTCATTAGGAAAAGTGAATTATTGAAACAGTTTTGTTATCTAATTCTGCTGTATTGCAAGGATGTCAGAATCAAAACATTTTTAACTGGTTATGGAAAACAGCATCAATAACTATAGCTATGCCTCTGTAGAGCTACATAACAAACAAGAACATCAGAAAAGGAGATAGTTATATATAATTTCTATCTAGTTATTCTAATGCCGCACCGGGAAAGGATTCCCCTTGAAAGTTCTGCCTCTCTAATCTGCCACCAGAATAAAATCAAGAAACTACAGATATGTGAATACATCGGCAGGTACGATAAAAATTCAACACTTTGAGGTGGCCAAATGCTAATGTCACATGCTAACAGGCTCACAATGTTAATGCTAACATACCTGATGTAAGACAGATAAAATGTGCCGTGTTCACCAATCTTATTTAAAACATTTGCCAATTTTACACAAACTAAGTATACAATGTGGCAATCAATCCAAATAGTATCATTAACCAGGACGGACTGGACTAGAAAAAACGGCCTGGATTTTTACTAGGCCGGCCTCAAAGCAATCGGCGCGCGTAAACTCAACAACGAAAACAATAATGCCTGGCATTATTGTCCACAATAATATTTAATATTAAAAATAAATAAATAAATAAATATAAGTCTATTCATGCTATCTTAAAATGAATTTATTATTAATAATCTTAATTAATTATGCAGGTAATTATTCTTACAAATAATAATACATTTTAATGAAAATACACCATTACAAAATTAACCTTCTGTATTCAAATCTTTTAAAGTTTGTAAGCATTAACTTGTAAGTTACCTTGAAAACTTTAAAAAAAGCACAACATATTTCTTACACTATGCATGTGGCATTTTACAGCTAAAATTTGTAATTTAGCGTGTTAACACTCTAATCATTATTTCATTTCCATTTTTCATTGTAGAGCAACACTAACTGGGTATGATAAAAATGTAGCAACCTGGAATAACATTTCCTAAACATTCAGCCCCTAAGCAGGTAACGTCTCTTTCTTCCTTCTCATGTCCCAGAACTTACTGGCCCTGGTATCGTCTGTGGAACCAGCTCTCTCTGCCCTCCATCATCACAGGTGGCCCTATCATGTTTGAGGCTGAACAGCTGTCTGGCTCACTTCTTTCACTCAATTGGTATGCTGCTAATATTAGAACTGAACTTTGCTCCAGTTGTGCTGCTGCTTGGCTGTGCTGCTTGAAATTTCAGTTACTTTGCGCATTTTAGACGGACTTCACTTCTCTAAATGTCACTTTTTTCCCTCGCTTCTCTGCCCGCCCTTTTCTTTCGTTTCTTTACCCGCTTGTTATCCATATTGGTTTCTATGGTCTTGAAACGTTTTGCTGCTGCTACTTATTTCATTCTTGTCCCTTAATTGGAGGACACTGGCCCGGGGCAGCTGGCATCCAACCTTAAAGGTGCACTGCTGGACCTACCGTACTGGATGTGAAACAGTATATTAGCCTAGGGGAAAAAAAACAGGTGATGATGCGTGGCGGTGGTGGCCGGCCCGAACGGCCGTCCTGAGTACCGTCCGTGTCGGATTCTCCTGGATCACACAGAATGTGCCCAGGCCGCCCTGTATTTAACCAAAAACCAACAAATGTCAACATCATCGTGCGCTAGATGAAAAGTCGAGAGGATCGCAATTGAACACTATACAAATTTCTGGTCATTAATTTGAATAGTTGCTGATATATTTAACAGTATATCGCAAAAAGGTGATAAAATCAAGCTGAAATCTCCACTGCCAGGCTGCTAGCAATCAATAAAAAACAATGAACAGTAAAGAAAATACACACTGTGGTGTAGTTAATTATAATTTTTTATTTTTCATTTTAGCTTTTTTATTTATTTTTTTGCTTGGTTTCAGATTAGTTTTGTGGTTTAGTTGTATTAGTTTCCTTTCTTTTTATTATAATAATTATTATTAAGACCTATTATTTATTATATAAACATTATTGTCAGAATAGATATTAATACAAACACATGAAGACTCATAAAAGCAGATGCACCAGTGCCTCCTCCATGTCATTCTGTTGACAAAATTTTCTAAAGTCTAGTTTTATAATATATTTCAGTTAACTAAAATGTTTCTTTCATAGCTAGTTTTAGGTTTTTAAGTTAGTTTTATTGAACTACAATAACCTTGGGGTTGATGGTTTTAACAAAAAGATGAAGTTTACAATTAAATTTCTAATTCTCATCGTGCAGGTATTCTTGACTGCATGAAACAGCGGCTCCTGAGCTATGATCCTGGTCCGGGTTCTGTCTTGTGGGAAATTTGGCAGGTAATAAAACTTTTGTATAATCTATCTGTTTTATCCTTTTTTGTTTATACATAATTTTGAATCCTTTTTTTAACTCTTATTTTGTTATTTTTTGTATCTTAATTGTAAAAATGAAAACAATAGGTTTGTGATGTTTCATGATGTTCAGCTTTATTCACACACAGACAGGTCAAACAAGCTAACCCTGGCATAATGAACGTAAAGTGTGTTGCAACCTTGTTTCTTAAACACACACCGCTGCCTGGAAAAGGTGCGTTTGATTTATTGTCCCCAGTACTTTATTGATGACATTTGCATAAGAAGAGTATACCTTTATGGTAAAATGGACCTGTACTTGTTATAGGCCTTTCTAGTCTTCCGACACTCAAAGCGCTTTTACACTATGCCCTATTCACCCTTTCACACACATTCATGCAAAGTCAATCGAACAGAAATTAATCCACACACATTCACTCAGTGATGGCAAAGTCCATCAAACAGAAACTAACTCATTCATACACATTCACACACCGATGCATCGGGAGCAATTTGGGGTTCAGTATCTTGCTCAAGGATATTCGACACGTAGCAGGAGGAGCCGGGGATCGAACCAACAACCTTCTGATTGGGGGACGACCTGCTCTGCCTCTGAGCCACAGCCGCCCAGCCTTTAGTAATCCCCCGTAGGAAAAATTCAAACTACATACAGTTGCAATAGGGAATATAATGCAATAAAAAGAGTACAGTGAACATACAATCATATCAAAAATAAGAAAAATAAGACATAACATAATAATCAATTCAAATTTTTAAAAACAAAGAAAAAAAATTAGTAACAGCATTAGATTAAAAATGAAGGCTTATAAAAGTAATGCATTAACAGTAAATTCCCAGACAGACAGATATTAATTCTACTACAACTCTCAATCAAATTAAAGGTATGATGATTCATATAACACCATTCAGTGACCTCAGCTGGAACACAGACAGATGTTTACTGTTTACTCTGACTGTTGATCAGATGTGTCATAATGATATGAATATTGCAGGTACCCTGTGAGTGATTTCTCCAAACAGCTGCTGGCTTCAGTTTGGCATCAGCCTCTGTTTGACCTGACCTGCGTTGGTAAGACACTGAACAGCAGAGTGAAAGAGCTGGACAAGTTCAGGGTGAGTTAATACTCAATTACTATTATTATCATTATTATTATTATTTTAATATCATATATCATATCACTTAATTCCATTAGTTCTATTGACTTTACCTTTGTTCCTTCTGTCCTTTATTTCCTTCCTTCCTTCCTTCCTTCCTTCCTTCCTTCCTTCCTCTTTCCTTTAGGAGCTCCAGGATCAGCTGCTGGGTGTCAGGAAGCTGCTGAAGGCCTGCAGATTTTCTGGAAGGTACAGAACATTTAGTACAAACTTTGGATTAAATATTACTGTTGCTATGCAGATAATGTTGTAATACTGAATTGAATGTTTGTTAACATTTAAAATATTAACAATGACAATGCAAAAATCAATGCATAATTTTTTTAATATAGTACAGATATAATAAAAGTTCAGATGATAAAGGGGGATTCCAACTATAGCATTGTAAGCAAGGTACAACAGAGGGTCAATAATTAGTCAAGTAGAATGCTTGCAACTGCTGAAGCCACTGTGGAATTAGACAAGCGGAGTAATATCCTCATGAACTGCCCCTTTGAGAAGTGAAGCAGACAGGTCAAGTATTCTAGAGGAAAACACTCCATTATGCCAGTTTTGCTTCGCTCTGTGGTCTATCAATCAATCAATTCATCAATTTGGATCAGGGTTTTCCCATAGCGAGCTTTCTTGCACCTCAATGTTCGGTACCTCTGTCCAGAAGGCAGTGGGGTGAGATATTGATTGAGTGGGTGTGTA